TGTCCAAGGTGCTGGCCTCCCATCTCTGGAGCCGGACTTGACCCCCCGAAGCCCTGGGACAGGCTGACCGCTCCTGCTCTGGGCAGCCTTTTATATGGCTAAGCTGGGCCCTGATTGGCTGGCTCCATTCTGCCTTCTTATTGGCTCCCAGTAAGCCCTCTCCTGATTGGCTGCGTGTCTACGCAGGCGCCTAGGCCTGCCGCAGCCCAGTCTCTCTAGGTGTGGGGTAATCGCCCCACCACACTGGGTTCTGTCTCATTACAGCTTGTACTGGGTTAGAAGCCGTATCAATGTATAACAGAAATGGTTTATCAAAGTCATGTTCAATAACATGATTGGTTTCAGAGTAGCAGCCGGGTTAGTCTGTATCCGCAAAAAGAACAGGAGGACTTGTGGCACCTTAGAGACTAACAAATTTATTAGAGCATAAGCTTTCGTGGGCTACGGCTCACTTCTTCGGATGCATAGAATGGAACACCCAGCAAGAAGATATTTATACCTACAGAGAACATGAAAGGGTGGAAGTAGCCATACCAACTGTAAGAGGCCAATCAATTGAGATGAGCTATCATCAGCAGGAGAAAAAAACTTTTGACGTGATAATCGAGATGACCCGTAGAAGGTGTGAGGATAACTTAACATGGGGAAATAGATTCAATTAGTGTAATGACCCAACCATTCCCAGTCTCTGTTTATACCTAAGTTAATTGTATCTAATTTGCATATTAATTCAAGTTCAGCAGTCTCTCTTTGGAGTCTGTTTTTGAAGTTTTTTTGTTGCAAAATTGCCACCTTCAGGTCTGTCACTGAGTGGTTAGAGAGGTAGAAGTGTTCTCCCACTGGTTTTTGAATGTTATGATTCCTGATGTCAGATTTGTGTCCGTTTATTCTTTTGTGGGTAAAACTTAGTTAGAACAATAGTGGATTGGATCTGCTCTTGCAGCAGGACTCCTGTATGTCTCATGTGATCTTGCCAAGAGCTAAAGAAAACCACTGCTTTATCCATACAAGCTCTGGCAAATGTTTGGAACTCCATTAACATCAAGTTAATGTAGATATTAATGTTTTTCATAGTACGGGAATCTTGGCATTTAGCCATGAAAGCAATATGGTAGTGTGCCTCAGTTTCCCTTTTCATACAGCACATCAAGTCTGGAATGTCTTTTCTCCTGTGAAAAGTTCCAATACTGTTTACAGGCATTAACTGTGCAACATTAGCATTACAAGGCCTTTTAACATAGAGTGTGTTCTCATGTATTCCTCTTAACATGTTCAAGGTATTTTCCAAAAGATTAGGCACATTGTACATTTTTACAATTTTTGGTAATAGCAACACAATGGTTATAAAAATCACCATTAGCAATAACAATAACTCCATTGCAAGTGTCCATCTACAATCATTTTTGTCATGCCACACCTTTGGCTCAATACCATTGGGGTTTGGGGCTTTTAGGGTTAACTTGTGGCTTCCCTTTGCAAAATCATGTTCTCTTTTTCCTCCTTGTCCTGGAGGATCAAACCCTGATTTCTCTTGCTAAACAGAATTCACTGGCTGATTGGGTGTCTCTCTGTGCTAACAGCCATTAGCAAGTCTTTCTTCTCCCTGTCAGCCAGGTAATTTGCATCAACACAAACACTAGCTTTTAAATTTTCAGCTGCTACCAATTCCAAGGCTGGACTCTGTCTTACAGAGATACCACACAAATCCAAAGAGTCTGAGGGTGAGAGTTTGCTTGCTCTCCCCTGCATCCTCAAGCATTTAGCCATAAAACTGCTCTGCTCTGAAACACCAGTAACCAAATCTGTCCTCAGACCCTGAAGCACAGACTGCTCACTCACAGAATCAGAAAGGAGACATTCCTGTTCCAACACCATTGTCTTCCCAACAAGCTGGCCAAACACAGCCACTTGGTTATAGGGTTGCTTAACTTTTTTAACAGCTTTTACTCCATCTGAGACCTTTTCAAAGCTACCCACACTGGATCTTTCAAAAGGACAGTCAGTGGATCCATTCTCAACAGAACATTTCTGGCTGTTAGGAACTGAAACTTCCTTGATTAAAAAGAAGAACAGGAGGACTTGTGGCACCTTAGAGACTAACAAATTTATTAGAGCATAAGCTTTCGTGGACTACAGCCCACTTCTTCGGATGCATCTTCTTTGTTATGCATCCGAAGAAGTGGGCTGTAGTCCACGAAAGCTTATGCTCTAATAAATTTGTTAGTCTCTAAGGTGCCACAAGTCCTCCTGTTCTTCTTTTTGCGGATACAGACTAACACGGCTGCTACTCTGAAACCTTCCTTGATTAAATCACTCTCACACCCTTCCGTTGTAGCAAACTGCTCCTACAGTTTACCATGAGGATTGCTTTCTCTAGCAGCTTCTCTAAGGGTATGTCTAGACTACCTGCCGTATCGGCGGGTAGTGTTATACCAATAGAATAAAAACCAGCAGGATCTTATTAAGAGGGATAAGCCAAAGATGCCACATTTATTGTAAATATATTGATAAAGCAAAAGATAAAAGTAAACAACATTGTTTGACTACTTATTTCTTATACACACACACACACACACACACACATAGAGAGAGAGAGTGTCTTCCTACATACTAATACTCCTTTTTTTGATCTTTGTATTAAAGCTATAGCAATAGACAAGACTTGTTTGCTTACATCACAAGACCTGAGCAAACACCTACCCTTCTACCTCTAACAATGCAGACTTGCATTTCAAAGCTCTATTCATTTACATATCTTCCTAACCAGTCTCTAAAGTTCGGCCATGGGTCAGGTCAGTCTGGGAGTTAATTAACTCTTTCTGACCCTGTCGCCTTTCAATGAGATATTATATTACACTCATAATGTCACAGCCGGGGTGGGGGGACTGAACCCCACTCTCCCCCCAGCTGGGTGAGTGCGCTAACTCCTGGGTAACGGCGAGCGCTGCTGGCGCAGTTCTTGCAAACAGCAACTTAGGTGCCTGAGCCCAGGCCCGGCTCCCAGCTGTGAATCCCACCCAGAGGGAGGCGCCTCCCTCCAGCCCAGACTTGGGCGACAAACGCCAGGAGAGGAGCAGGGCTTAGCACCCCCCTTTCCTCAGCATCTCCCATTGGCTAGCTCGGTGGCTCCCCACCCAGGGTGCCAGGTTTTGGGAAGCCCATTCATTGTCTAGGAAGCCTGGGAACCAAACCTAGGCGCTGTGAATCCCTCTGCATCTTGCAAGTGGATGTCGGTCCTGCTACGGCTGCTCCGTAACTGAGCTTGCAGAGTCTCTTCTCCCCCAGGCAGAATAGATCCAAGGCTTCTTTCCTGCTCCCGCCAGGAGCCCATGGAGCAGCTCTAGGTGTGTGGAGCCAGCAGGGTTGGACACACACAGGGTAGCCGGGAAGTGTGCTTGGCAAGGTGGGCAATCAGGACAAAGCATTTCAAAAACGCCCAGGGGCTCTGAAAGGTGGGGAGAGGCTTCCAGTGTCTGATCCCTGGGCAGTGGAGTTCAGAACTGTCACTGGCGTGGGGCCCAGGGCGTCGTGGGTCAGTGGCAGGAGGACACAAGAATTGCAGCATCTGCACTCACACTTGGGCGACCTACATAGGTGGCTGTGGCTTTTCGCCGTTCGGGACGTGGTGTCACTCCAGCTCTGAAACCGGGAGTTCACATCAGCGGGAGGCAAATGTTAGTGTTGATAAATGCGTAACTAGGTTGGTGCAAGTTGGCTGATGTCAACCTGCCTTTAGAGTATAGACCAGGCCTCAATCCAGTTCTGTCTCCAGTTTTGTTCACCAAGGATAGAGCAGAGATAGAGGAGGATCAGATAACAACAAAATCACTTGGGTCTGGGAAACCCACTAAGTGAGGAACATTAACGAGAGGGGGCTCTTTAGTTTAGAGCAGGGGTCAGCAACCTTTCAGAAGCGGTGTGCCGAGTCTTCATTTATTCACTCTAATATAAGGTTTCGCATGCCAGTAATACATTTTAACGTTTTTAGAAGGTCTCTTTCTGTAAGTCTATAATGTATAACTAAACTAGTGTTGTATGTAAAGTAAATAAGGTTTTTAAAATGTTTAAGAAGCTTCATTTAAAATTCAATTAAAATGCAGAGCCCCCCAGAGCGGTGGCTAGGACCCGGGCAGTGTGAGTGCCACTGAAAATCAGCTCACGTGCCGCCTTCGGCCCACGTGCCATAGGTTGTCTACTCCTGGTTTAGAGAGACAATGATAAATGTACAAACTAACGAATGGCAGAGAGTAGGTCAGTCAGGGCTCCTCTTTACCCACTCTCATAATGCAAGAACAACGGGACACGCGATGAAGTGGAGGGAAGAAAAGGTAAAACTGACACGCGGACACTCATGTACATAACACGTAACTCCGCTGTAGAGCTCATGGCCACAGAATGTCATTAGAGTTATGAACTGTGAGGGGTTCAGAGGAGAATTGGAGAATCAGATAGATGGCCAGGACCTCCACAATTGCATGAGAGAGAATGAAAATACAAAAGGAAATCTCCAATGTTTGGAAGGGATCTAAATCCTCCTCCTCAGGGCACAAGCCACCCAGGCTCTAACTACCTGGAGTTAGGAAGAAATTTTCCCCAAGGGCAAATTACTCTGCACTTGTCCACTAGGTGGGTTTCTTGTCCCTTCCTCTGAAGCACCAGCCAGTTTCAGAGAGAGAAGAGGGGACTAGATGGACACCTGGTCTGATCTGGTCGGGTGTTTCCTGTGTTCCCATTAGAGTGAATCGAAATGTGTCAGACACTTCACCTTGAAAGGCAACGTAATCAAAGCCAAATCTTGTGTTTTAACAGAGAGAGCTTATCTGGAGAATTACTCTTGCTGAAGTGAACGTGCTACGTAGGTGCAAAGATGAGTTGCCAGGAAATATTCGTGAGCAGCATGTCACCACATGGAAGATTATGCTCTACTTCTGAAGCAAATGACTCTTACAGTAACCACACACCCCTAACTGAAGCAAAGAGACAAACTGCAGAAGCAGCAAAGCGGAGAGCAATGGAGATTCTGAGAGATGCCCTGAAGAAGAAGGACCGAGTGCTGATGGAGAAGCCCCAGGATCTGTTTTTTGGTGATAGCAGAGATCCCAAATTCTGGATGGAACGCCATGCGATACTGACAGAAGAGTTAGTTCGAGATCTCATCTCAGAGCTGGAAGTTGTGAAGTTTAAGGAGGATCTAACCAGGAAATATATTTATGCATATGTTTATTCAAAGTCTGGAGACAAAACAGTGTATTTGTGCCCAGAATTCTGGAAGGCTTCTACATATCTTGGAGAAGGGTCTCAGCCAGGGACTCTTATCCATGAAGTGTCTCACTTCCTGGGGATACGAGATATCGACTATTCCAAAGCCAGTATCTATGTTGCCTGCAGAGGGAAGTTGGTAAAAAGCAAATCAGACCCCAGTGCCCCAGATCTGAATCCCCTTGGGAAAGCACTATTAAATGCTAACAACATCACAGATGAATTTGAAATTACCCTAAATCACAAAGGAAGATACGAGAATGGAAAATACACCTGCTGTGGGGAAAAAGCCGTGAACTCAGTTTGTGAGAGAGCTGTGCCTGATGAGTTTCTTATTCACTATTTCAGGGAAAGGTAAGCAACTCTCCTCTCCCCTGGGCAGTGCATGTTGTGTGTGGTTCCCTCCCTATTAACTGTATGGCAGTGGTGCCTAGGGACCCCACACAGGGATTGCGTCCCCATGGTGCTAGGAGCTGTACTCATGATGGGGAGACAGCCGTTGCCCCAGGGCGCTCGCAATCCAGGATTATAATAAGGTACAAATGGGTGGAAGAAAGACAACCAGGGCAAGGGGGAAGAGGAGACGGTGACAGTAAAATGAACACCATGAGCCAGACCCTCAGCTGGCGTAGCCCAGCCTGGTTCCAGAGCAGTAAAAGTCGCTGTGCCAATTACACTAGTGAGGACGTGCTCACAACTCTACGTAACAGCTCCTATGTCTCAGCCTTCCTCAGGCCAGCCACTGTCCGACTACAGCCATTGTCAGACTAGCCCTGTTTCACTGGGCGCCATGGCAGGGGTAAATCTGAAGGAGGATTGAAGAGGACGATGTGGGAGTTTAGGAGAAGGTATGAAGGTGCTGGTGGATGGATGACCAGCCAGCAGTAAGGGATGAAGTGATCAGTAGAGGGAAGGCTGGGGTCAGCGCTGTGATAAATACTGTAATTGCTGGGGGGGAGGGGCCCTACCGGCAAAGACCAGGAGCTGCGGTTTGACATGGGAGAGGAGAGGCAGCCAGGGGAGTGACACAAAGATGGGGTTGTGACAGGTTGGGTCACAGAGACTCCATCAAGATTGTCCCTAGATGTGCTGAGATACCACTGAGCCTAACCCTTCTACCAGCCTGGGCACCCCTTTACTCTGTCTAGCTGGACCAGACCCTACAAGTTGCCTCCAGCACAGACCTGGAGATAGGAGCCACACCCCTCCTGCACAACACAGACACTGAGATTCACTCAGCTCTGGGCAGACTACAGTTAAAGGGACTTTACTCAGCACTCAGTGCACAGCCCTTCTGGGAGCCTAAACCCCAAATAAATCCGTGTTACTCTGTATAAAGCTGTCACAGACTCACAGATTGTGCCCACTCTCGGCCCCGTGCGGTCCGTGGGGGGGTGCCCCTTTCAGCGCGACAGCTCTTCTCGGGATCCACTCTCTCTCGGGGTCAGGCCCCTCCACATCCTGGAGCCGCACCTCTCTGAGCCTTAGCACGTCTGTCTCTGCTGTGGGCCCCCATGGGGAGTCCCCTCGCTCTGGACCCCCAGGGCCTCCACCTTGATGCCCCCCCTGTTCTCTAGCCCAGAGTGACACTCAGCCAGCGTAACACAGGAGGTTTATTGAAAGTAGAACACAGCACAGAAAACTCTCCGGGCCTCAGGCCTGGCCTCCCTCAGCCCAGCACATCCCAGTCTCCCCTACATCCAGGTGGGCTCTGCCTGCTCCCCCTCTCCAGCTCCAAGCCCCCCTGCTTCCCAGCTCGGCATCTGAGATCACCGGCCCCAGGCCCTGCCTCTGTCCATTGTCTTCTCTCCAGGTAAACAGGGTCATAAACTGGTCGCCCGGACATCCTCTCCCCTCTTCCGTCCTCTGGCTGGAACCGGCTAGTCCAGTCACCGGGGTCCTCTCTCTGCAGCCCATTGTCCTCCCACTGACCAGAACTCGCTGCAACTCCTGAGCTGGGTCTCCGGGTCATCAGGTCACCAGTCACTGGGGTGTTCCCCCTCCAGGCCATTGGCTGGGGTCCCAAGTTCCCTCTCCAGTCCTCTGTATCAACAAACTCCCTCTCCCCTCACCTCGTTAAACCAGTAACACCCAGGGGCACTGAGTCCCACCCCCTCCGCATGCAAACCATTGGAAAACCACAGAAAACAAGAAAATCACCCACTTCATCACAAAAGCTTATACAGGGTGAACTAGTAAATTGTTCGCCCTCTATAACACTGATAGAGAGATATGCCCAGCTGTTTGCTCCCCCAGGTATTAATCACTTACTCTGGGTTTATTAATACTGCTAGGTAGCAGTTCTGCTGAAAAGGACCTAGGGGTCACAGTGGACGAGAAGCTGGATATGAGTCAACAGTGTGCTCTTGTTGCCAAGAAGGCTAACGGCATTTTGGGCTGTATAAGTAGGGGCATTGCCAGCAGATCGAGGAACGTGATCATTCCCCTTTATTCAACATTGGTGAGGCCTCATCTGGAATACTGTGTCCAGTTTTGGGCCTGTGGAAGCAGAGAAAGAGCTGACAGGAAGGGGATGCAATGAATGACAGTTCGTTAGCAAGAGTTAGGTAGGGAGGCTAG